TCCTCTTATCAGAACACTGTGTCATAATTAGCCAAAAATGTTATCATTCTTTACATTGTTTTTTCTCTATTGCAAAGTTCATGACCAGCACCTCTATACCAAAGCAAAGATTAACAAATTTAAAGAATGTAAGCTATGCTTGACATAGGGAACTTCAGAAATAAAGTTTCAAAGATCCAGGGAAAAACATCGCAAATTTAAAAACCCTTAAGGCAAACTATTGTGAGTCTGGGATAGTCTATTTATATTTAAACCTTAGCTTAGAGGCAATTTAAGCCAATTTTATCAATGTGTTTTTTCTTTATAATGCAAATTTACAATGAATGAACTTTATGGCCGTGGAAATGAAACTTTAAAAACAACAGACTGAAACAAAATTGACAACTAAGACTGAGTTGGAAAAAAATAAGATTTAAAATCAGAGATGAGAGAAGCATTAGAAATGGCATCACAGAACTACACAGGATTATTATAGAATATTATGAACAACTGCCAATAAACTGATAGCCTAGGAGATAACAAATGGACCGATTTCTAGACATATACATCTTCTGAAGCTTGAATCATGAAAAACTGGAATATCTATAGAGCAATAAAAAGTGATGAGATTGGCCAGCAACAACAAAATAATTGAATAGTAGTGAATACCATAGCCGGGCAGTACTGGCACACACCTTTAATCCCAGCACTTGGGAGGCAGAGACAGGTGGATCTCTGTGAGTTCAAGGCCAACCTGGTCTACAAGAGCTAGTTCCAGGACAGACTCCAAAGCTAAAGAGAAACCCCATCTCGAGAAACCAAAACAAACAAACAAAAAAATAGTGAATACTGATTATTCTTAAAAATTGAATCATTCAAAACTAGAATTACTCAGATATCAAAGCCAGATGACAATGTTGTGATGTATTCACCAGAGAAGACTGTTCGGACATGGGTTTAAGCCAATAAAAAGTCTCTATTAGCCATCTGGCAAATACGCTAAGTGTTTGACATCCCAGTACAGCCCTGAGCCTTTCTCAGGGTGGACTCTGAAGCACAAAAGCCATATTCTGGGTTCACAGAGTTCCGTTAACAAGAAGAGTTAGTCAGAAGCAGAACTACAGAAGCTAAAAGGCAAGGTTGGTACTTTTTGCGAGTTTCCCAGAACTATGGACTTTGATGAATTAGGTCTTTGTTTTAGTTTTCGCAGGTGGTGCTGTCTCCCTGCTGAGTTTTATAGCCTGAATGGCACTTCCATCACGGAGTCAGCTGTGCTAAGGTCTGGGGGTAAGGCCTATTACAAAAACGGCAGTAAATAAGAAAACTTTTTTTTGTAATAATACTAGAATAAGTCTATTATCCAGAATGAAAACTATGTGCATAGAGGCCAAAAGGATGGATAAAACAAAGTTTTACCTTGGACAAAAGCAAAAATCTTTGGCAAAAGGATGAAGAAGTGGCCTAGTTGGTCAAGAACTCACCCTATAAGCATGATGACCTGAATTAGATCCCCCAGACCTCGCTGAAAAAAAAAAAAAAAGCCGAGAACTGGGGCGATAGCTTACTGGGTAAAATGCTGCCTTGCAAGAATGAGGACCAGAATTCTATTCCCAGCAGCCATATGGAAGCCAGGAATGTAACCCATGCCTGTAACCCTAAGAACAGGGAAGGTTTGATGGTTGAATTTCCACAGAGGGCCAAATAGTTTACCTAACTAATCAATGAGCTCTGAGTTCAGTGAGAGACAGTCTCTCAAAAAGATAAAGGTGAAAGCAATAATGAAAGACAGCATGCTGGACCCCTGGCCACCACACACACACACACACACACACACACACACACACACACACTGCTTAACAAAGCACTTGTAATCCCAGCGCAGGGAAGGCAAATACAGGTAGACTCCTGAGGCTCATTGGCGATCTAGTCTAGGGCATTTGGCAAGTTCTGGCAGAGTGAGAAGCCCTGAACTTAGAGCAAAAACAAACAAACAAATAGTGGATGGGAGGACACCTGAGGAACAACAGTCCAGGTTGTTCTCCGGCGTTCACATCTCTGTGGACATACATGCATACACACCCACACTCAGACACAGGCGCACACACACACACACACACACACACACACACACATAATAAAACATTAACAAACTGATAAGGACAGAATATATCAATAGATGTAGAAAGGGTATTTTATAAAATGCAATATCCCTTCATGATAAAAATTCTTAGCCGATATATGGTGTGAACAAATGTCAGCACAATAAAGATCATGGCAAAGTAGCAGCTAACATATTTAGTAGGGAGAAAGCCAAAAGTTTGCTAAGATTTACATAAGCTAGGATGCTCACTTTGACCACTTGTATTCAGCACAGTACTGAAAATCCTAAACAGGGTAATCAAGAAAGAAAAAAAGATAAAGTGTATGAAATTGTAAAGAAGGAAGTTGAACAGTCACTATTTACAGATTGTATGATCTGGTATGATCTCATATGTAGAAAGTTGGTGCAGGAGAATTGTCTGTATTCTGTCAATCATACTTTAATAAAACGCCGATTGTCCAGGCAGGCAGTATAGGCGGGAAAGCCAGACAGGAAGTAGGGGTGGAGCAAAGAGACTGGGAGTATTCTGGGAAGCAGGAAGTTCCCTCTGCCATTTCTTCCCAGATCACCGAAGAGGCAACATGTGAGCTGCCACGCTGAGAAAGGTACTGAGCCATGTGGCTAACATAGATAATGATAATGGATTAATATAAGTTACAAGGACTAATAAGAAGCCTGACCTAATGGGCCAATCAGTTTATAACCTTATAGAGTCCTGTGTGTGATTTTCTTTGGGATATGCCAGCTGTGGGGTACTGGGCGGGACAGAAACCCCAACAAGCCGGTCCTTCATGCTACAGAAAGTAGCCCCAAACTATTAAAGATAACACACAAATTCAGCAAAGCTTCAAAACACAACATTCAAACTCAGTAGGGTTGCTATATACCAATAATGAAGTATCTGAAAAATAAAGAAAGAAAACAATTTATAGTAGCTATAAAACAAAATTTATGCAAAGTAACGAGAAATTTTCTCAATGAAAACTATAAATACACCTGAAATAATTTAGGAGGGGACACACACACATACAAATGGGAAGTCATCCTATATTTATGGATTGCAAAAATCAATATTATTTAAATATTCACACTGCCCAAAATAACTGGATTCCATACAGTTTTTTATCAATTTTTATCAAAATTTTTATCAAAATGCTAGAAACAATATTTGATGAATGAAAAAGGAAATCCTATAATTAAATAATACCACAAAAAAATCTAAATAACCAAAGCCATCATGACCAAAAGGAACAAAGCAGAAAGCAAAATACACTACAAAACTGTAGTAATCAAATGAGCAAGTTATATCACCAGGTGTGATGACTCATGCTTCTAATCCCATCACTAGGGAGGCAGAGGCAAGCAGATGTCTATGAGTTCCAAGCCAGCCTGATCTACATAGAGAGTTTCAGACTCGGACAGGGCAACATAGAGGTACCCTGGGGGCAGGAGGAATTAATAAATATACAATATTGTCATAAAAACAGACACATAGACCAGTGGAAAAGAATCTACAAGTACCTATGAATTGACAGAAATAATCTTCAACAAAGGTGCTAAGAACACACACTTCATTAAGTAGTCCCAAGAAAAGTGGATAGCTGCAAGCAAAAAACTTAAGCCAAACGCACATATTTTTATAAGTATATTTTTATATTATGCTCATTCTTAAATAAAGTTCATTATTGGATTGTCGATATTAAAAAGAAAGAAAAGACTTTAACCCCCCCCACACACACTATTTACAAAAATCAACACAAAAGGGATTGAAGGTTGAAATATAAGACCTAAAACTGTGAACCAAATGTTCAAATGTGGGCAAATGTTCTCAGATATTGGAATGGGCAAAGACCTAATTCGATTAAACACCCCAGAAACACAAGAAATGAAAAAAAAAAGAGAGAGAAATGGATGGGTACCCAACTACAAAACTGCGGCTGAGAACAGGCAATCTCCAGAATCGGAGAAAATATTTGCGAACAATAGCTGACGATAATTAACACCCAGGATATTTAAGGAATTCACATAAATATAATGAAGATATAAGTAAAAAAACCCAAAAAGATACCTAACAATCCAATTGAAATGGCGATATAACAGTTCATAAAGGAAGATACGAAGTCGATAGGTGTGTGTAAAAATATATATGACTAGTCTTGAAGTGCAAAGTCACAGTTTTAATTCATCCCAGAGTGGTTATTATCAGAGACAAGATCAGCAGCAGAGGTGAGGAAGTGGAGAGAAGGGACCCCTCGCACACGGCTGGTGTGCACGCCAATCTGGGCACCCACCATGGAAGTCAGCGTGGAGTTTGTGGGGGAAAGAAAACTAGAACTGTCACAGGATCCAGCGATCCCACCACTGGGAAGGTGTCAGCAAAGACGGGGCGGGGGGTGGGGGTCAGGACTGGATAGGAAATCTGGCTGAACGTGAGCCTGGCAGCAAACTTTCCTCCACGTTCGGGACTTGTTTTCAGGACGGGGCTTGGCTGGGGTGCGTGAGCCAAACCGCTTTCTCTTCTAGTTGTCCCCCAACTCCTCTTGGTGACCCTCGGGAACCTTCTTGATTTACCCGGAGGTGTTCCAGGAGGGTAGTTCTTTGAGCTCCTTAGCGACGGTGGCTTGGCAGAGAGCAACCGCCTTGGTCTCCCGCCTTCCGAGCTGGGGGAAGCCCCGGAGGGGGAGCTGTCGGCAGCTGCGCAGGCGCAGTCGGTGCTCTGGCATCCGCTCACTCCCGCCTGGCAGCCTAGCGCCCTCTAGCGAACGCCAGCCGCGCAGGCGCAGTCGGCGCCCACCGGGCCACTTAACCCAGTCGCCCGAGTACTACGGGTCTCGAGAGGACGCCACCGCGCAGGCGTAATCGGTGCTGCCTGGCAGCTGCTCAGCCCCGCCCACGGAGCCCAGAAGCGCCCTCTTGCTGACACTCTCCTGGCGCAGGCGCAGTGGGTTGCCGGAGGCTCCCGGTTCCGGACGTTTCACCGGTGGCTGGTGAGATACGGTTGTGTTCCTCAGGTGCTGACGGGCCGCGGCGGCGGACCCGGAGCTCTGGCGGCATCACGGAGGCGCAGGCTGTGTCCGAGGGTTCGGGGCCCGGCGCCGCTGGCCCCGGGACGGCCCCTCCGGTGACGGTACTAGTGATGCGGCAGGACGAGGCGGCGGCGG